ACCCCACCAACCTCCGGATCCAACGCATCATCCTCCGACACTTCCGCCATCTGCAATCCGACCCCACTACCAAAGACATTTTTCCCTCCCCACCCTTATCTGCTTTCCGGAGGGACCACTCTCTCCGTGACTCCCTTGTCCACTCCACACTCCCCACCAGCCCCACCACCCCCGGCACTTTTCCCTCCAACCGCAGGAAGTGCTACACCTGCCCCTACACCTCCCCCCTCACCCCCATCCCAGGCCCTAAGAACACCTTCCACATCAAACAGATGTTCACCTGCACATCTGCTAATGTGGTATATTGTATCCGCTGTTCCAAATGTGGCCTCCTCTACATCGGGGAAACCAAGCGGAGGCTTGGGGACCACTTTACGGAACACCTACGCTCAGTTCGCACCAAACAACTGCACCTCCCAGTCGAGAACCATTTCAACTCCCCCTCACTCCTTGGACGACATGTCCATCCTGGGCCTCCTGCAGTGTCACAACGATGCCACCCGAAGGTTGCAGGAACAGCATCTCATATTTCGCTTGGGAACCCTGCAGCCCAATGGTATCAATGTGGACTTCACAAGCTTCAAAATCTCCCCTCCCCTGACCGCATCCCAAAACCAGCCCAGCTCGTACCCGCCTCCCTAACCTGTCCTCCCATCTATCCACTCCTCCCACCTCAAGCTCCACCCTCATCTCCTACCTACTAGCCTCATCCTGCCTCCATGACCCGTCCGTCCTCCCTGGACCGACCTATCCCCTCCCTAACTCCCCACCTACACTCACCTTTACTGGCTCCAACCCCGCATCCTTGACCTGTCTGTCTCCTCTCCACCTGTCTTCACCTTTAGCCATCTTCTAGCCGCCTCCCCCTTTCTCCCTATTTATTTCAGAATCCCCTTCCCTGCTCCATTTCTGAAGAAGGGTCTAGACCCAAAACGTCAGCTTTCCTGCTCCTCTGATGCTGCTTGGCCTGCCGTGTTCATCCAGCCCTACACCTTGTTGTCTCAGATTCTCCAGCATCGGCATTCCTACTATCTCTGCTAGGGTTAGGGATGCTGGATTTTATGGATCAGAGCAAACCCCCTCAAAATATTTTAAGAAGGTAGCCTTGATCCTTAAGTTTTCTTATTTTAAAGGCAGGTGTAAAGTGTTCCAGATGCAATGTGACTGGTGAAACTATTCAAAGTTAAGCTAAACACAGTTTATTTAAACACTACAGTTAAAATGCAAACAAAAGAAAGAGAAATTTAGAACAACTTAACTATTGGAAAACTTAACCGAATAATAGATACAGTAAATATTACTAATTAACAGTTCCAATATAGTAACATCCCATAAACATACACCTTGGCCAAAAAGCAAATTCAGACACAGATTTTCACATGCAGTTCTCCAATCCAGAAGGAAAAAAAAATCAAGAGAGCATTCAGAGAAAGTAGCAGCTAGGAGGCATTCACTGAAGCTTCCAACTCATTTGAGACGCCAAAGTCTTCTTCTTAAAACTAAAGCTGAAAACTAAAAGTAAACTAGAAAGCCTGGTCTGTGAGTTCTGGACACACCCAGGCTGCTTCCATTGTTCCAACCCTCAGTGCCTCACAAATTGTTTACTTTCTTAGAGACTGCTCTATACATCTGGAATACAACCACACTTCAAAACAAAACAGGACAAAATAACCTCTTAAAGTGACAGCATCCTCGCATCTTCCCCCTTAAAAAAAACCCACCAATATACAAAGTTGATTTCATTTTTAAAACACTTAGTCTTACTCCACCAGTACACTGCAATACATATACATTACATTGACTCGAACATGCAAACATTCACTACTACAAGTTATTTCAGTCCGTTTACTCCCGCCACTGAACACCTCCATCTTTCTTCATCAAGGTCACGACAACATGTCAGCAGTTACGTTTTTTTGGTCCGACGTGTGTAGTTTTCAAATTGAATGGCTGCAATAAGAAGTTCCGTCTAAACAGCGTGGAATTTTTGTCCTTAAATTTCTACAAAAACTTTAATGGGTTATGATCAGTATATATAGTTGCCTCAGGCCCATTACTGGCAATATAAATGTTGAAGTGTTGTATCAGCAAAACCAAGCTCCAGGTTTCCTTCTCAATCATGGAATATTTCTGTTGATGAGTCTTCAGTTTTCTGGAAAAATACCCAATAGGTCTTTCTATCTTTTCTGAGTCTTCTTGTAAGAATACAGCTCTGACACCCACATCACTCGCATTGATAGCCACCTTGAATGGCTTTGTATAATTAGGTGTGGCTAACACTGGGGCAGTAGTTAGCACAGCTTTCAGGCTGTCAAATGCTTCTGACAGTCCACTGAAATTTTCTGCTTTTCTTCAGTAAGTCAATCAATAGAGCAACCACACTGCTAAAATTTGGTGTGAACTTCCAAAAAATCCCACTCAAACCCAGGAAACCTGGTACTGCCCTCTTCATCGATGGTATGGGCAACTCCCTAATTACTTTTGTTTTCACATTCTGTGGAGTCACCTTTCCATGCCCAATAACTTGGCCCAGGAATATAACTTGGGCTATCACAAACTCACTCTTAGCCAGGGTGATCACCAAGCCTGCCTTCCGAAGTTGATCGAACAATTCCAAAAGATACTGCAAATGTTCCTTCCATGCGTGACTAAAAATCACCAGGTCTTCAATCTACACCACACAATTGGGTAATCCTGAAATGACTTTGTTTGTTTGTCTTTGAAATATAGCTGGCACATTTTTCATACGAAGTGGCATGACTTTAAATTAGTATAATCCATTTGGTGTCATGAAAGCCAAAATGGTCTTTGCTCTTTCGGATAAAAGTAGCTGCCAGTATCCTCTTCTCAATACAGTCCTCCAAACGTGGAGTAGGATATGAATCAGACTTTGTAACTGCATTGACTTTAGGATAGTCCACACATAATCATTGGGTATCATCTGGTTTTGGCACCATTACTATGGGTGAGCTCCAGTCACTGCAGGTCACTTTGAGTAGGTCGCCTTTGAGCATGTGATCAATCTCTTTGAACCTGTGCCATCTTTAGAGGATTAATTCTATAAGGATCTTGCTTAATTGGAACAGCATTTCATTTTTCTACTTCATGCATAATGAGATTTGTACTTCCTAACTTATTCCCACGTATCTCCCTAAGCGATTGAAATAACTCTTTGAAGTCATTTTGATTTTCCTGTGGAAGGTAAGTCAATAACTTATTCCAACTTTTGAGAACTTCCTCATTGTCCAATTTAATTTGAGGAATATCCAATTCAATTTGAGGAATGTCCAATTCAGAATCCTGTGAACTTGGTTCGTTACTCTGTGTTGTAACCAGTAACACATTCTCCTTTTGCTTTCCTTCCCTATCAAAATACCTTTTGAGCATATTCACATGACACACACTGTGAAATTTCTTTCTATCTGGCGTTCTTATTGAAAAATTCACCTCACTCAATCTCCCTTCGATTTGATAAGGTCCACTAAACCTTGCTTTTAAAGGTTCACCTATCACCGGAAGTAACACTAACAATTTATCGCCACTAGCAAAATTGTGAATTTTTGATTTCTTGTCTGCTTCCTGATTCATCTCATGCTGTGCTACTTTTAAATGCTGTCTAACCAATTCACTCGCTTTATTTAATCTTTCCCTAAAATTTGACATATAGTCCAAATGTGTGATCTTTGAACTCTGATTCACCAATTTCTCCTTAATTAACTTCAGTGGTCCTCTCACCTCAAAACTACCCAAAAACTAATTCAAATGGACTGAATTTGGTGGATTCATTTGGTGCGTCCCTAATTGCAAAAAAGCACAAATGGAAATTCTTTATCCCAATCTTCTGGATAGTCTTGAATATAATCCCTCAACATGATCTTTTAAGTTTGATGCCTTTGTTCTAATGCTCCCTGAATTCCTGGATGGTATGCAGTGGATTTGAATTGTTTTATTCCTAAACTATCGATAACTTCCCCGAATAATTTTGATGTAAAATTTGACCCTTGATCTTCTCTTTTCCTCGATTTTTAATCCCTCAAAGATTGAAATTGATGTCAGAAGCCAAACTTTGATTTATGAGCCAACTCATAATCATTGGCCATTTCAGCTGCTAATCTTGTAGTGTTAACTCTCTGCTCTTCTACATGAGTTCTCACTACTTCAGGAAGTGAAGTTTTGAACTCTTCCAAAATAATTGTATTTCCAAGAGCGTCATATGTTTGATCTATCTTCAATGTCCTTTTAAGGCAAATTTCCTCTGTAGTTGCCAGCTTCTGAAGTTCAAATTCTCTCTTTATCTCTCTTTCTTATCTCTCTTCCTTTTTTCTCTGCTTTTAATTGTAATTCAGACTGCTACATTTCCTTTTCATGTTCAAGCTGCTTCATTTGCAATTGAATTTTAGCCATTTCCAAAGATTGCAATGGCATTTCCGGCAATTTTAAATGTCAAGCTATTGCTGCAATTATTTCCCTTTTTTGCACGTACAAAGGCAACCCCAATACCAACCTCAATAGCTTTGCCTTGCTCACTTTATTTAAAACTCCTGATGTCATTTCTTCCACCCCCAGAAAACTCCTAGTGACCAAAAGAGCCATTACTACACGAGGCACACCTATTTAAACCAACCGAATTCAACACCTGAAACAAAAGATACTAATGCCTACACTCGCTGCCTTTGCCTCCAACAATCCTAAACCCAATTTGGAATTATAGATTTTGATGCTGACAAGAGAGCCCAATTTCTTATGGACCTTTGTGCAACACCTGTCACCAAGCTTTCTTTCTCTATTGCAAACATTAGGATGATTAGGGGCCAAAAAAGGAGATTTGCACATAGAGGAATGAGAATCTGTTTTTAACCTATGAGGCAGATGCTGCTTAGATCACAGTGAACAAGGAAGAAAATTAGCCACTAGAAAGCTTTAAAATTGATATGGAGGAATATTGGATAAACTGTTAGTACTTAAAGTTGGTAAGGCATAATGACTGGAATGTCTAAATGTAAAAACGTAGAAGACAGGAGCAGGAGTTGGCCATTCGACCCTTCGAGCCTGTTATGCCATTCATTATGATCATGGCTGATTATCAAACTCCATATTCGAACCCCACCCTCCCCCATATCCCTTTACCCCTTTTTCTGTAAGTCTAATATTTGCTTCCTCCTTGAAAACACATCATGTTTGGGTCTCAACCACTTTTCTGTGGTAATGAATTCCACATGCTCACCACTCTCTGGGTAAAATTGCTTCATCTCAATCCTAAAAAGGTTTACCTCTTATCCTTAAACTCCGACCTCTGGTTATGGACTCCTCCACCATAGGGAACATCTTTCCTGAATTTAATCTGTCTTGCCATTTTAGAATTTTATAGGTTTCTATGAGATCCCCCTCATTCTTCTAAACTCCAGTGAATACAATCCTAACCAATTCAATTTCTCCTCATATGTCAACCCTGCCATCCCAGGAATCAATTTGGTGAGCCTTCACACCACTCCTTCTAAAGCAAGAACATCCTTCCTCAGATAAGGAGATCAAAACTACACACAATGTTCCAAGTGTCACCTCACTAATGCACTGTATAACTGCAGCAGGACATCCTTGTTCCTGTACTCAAATCCTTTCCCTATGAAGGCCAGCATGTAGTTTGCTCTCTTTACTGCACTTGCATGCCTGCCTTCTGCAACTGGTACACAAGGCATCCAGGTTTCATTGAACATTCTCCTCTCTCAATTTACAGCCATTCAGATAAAAATTTGCCTTCCTATTTTTGCAACCAAAGTAGATAACCTCACATTTATCCACATTATACTGCATTATCCACATTAGACAGCCTGCCCAAATTGCATCTTCCTTACAGTTCCCCCTTCCACCCAGCTTTGTATTATCTGCAAATTTTGAGATATTACATTTAGTTTCCTTGCCTAAATCATTAAATATATTGTGAATAACTGTGATCCTGGTGCTGATCCCTATGGCACCCCACTAGTCATTGCCTGTCATTCTAAAAAGACTTATTTATTGCTACTCCTTTTGTTCTGTCTGCTAACCTTTCATCTGTCCATCTAAATACACTACCCCCAATCCCATGCACTTTAATTTTACACATTAGTCTCTTATGAGGGACTTTGTCAAAGCCTTCAGAAAATCCAAATAAACCACATCACTGGCTCTCCCTGTTTCACTCTACTAGAATCATAGAATCCCTACAGTGTGGAAACAGGCCCTTCGGCCCAACAAGTCTACACCAAACCTCAGAGCATCCCACCCAGACCCATCCCCCTATAACGCGCCTAATCTACACCTCCCCGAACACTACGGGCAATTTAGCATGGCCAATCCACCTAACCTGCACATCTTTAGACTGTGGGAGGAAGCCGGAGCAAACCCACACAGACACGGGGAGAATGTGCAAACTCCACACAGACAGTCGCCTGAGGCTGGAATCAAACCCAGGTCCCTGGCACTGTGAGGCAGCAGTGCTAACCACTGTGCTGCCCCAGTTACATCCTTGAAGAATACCAGTAGATTTGTCAAGCATGATTGCCCTTTTGTAAACCCGTGCTGGCTGTGTCTAATTCAGTGCCTGTTTTCTAAGTGCTCTGCCATAAAATCCTTGTTTATGGATTTAGCGTCTTCTCCACTACCAGGTCAGACTCATTGGTCTATAGTTTCCCGTTTTTGCTATACTTCTCTTCTTAAATAGTTGATTACGCATTGGCAACAGTCCAATTTGTAGGAACTCTTCCAGAGTCTAATGAATCTTGGAAGATGATCTACCAACACATCCATTTTTTCTATGGCCACTTCCTTAAGTACCTTGGCATGTAAATTATTATGCCCTGGGATTTATCAGCCTTCAACTGCATCAATTTTTCTAGTTCCTCTGTCTCACTAAACCATGTTCCCCATCATTTATTGTATGTTGTTTGTGTCCTCCTTCGTGAAGACAGAGTGAGGTATGAATTTAGTCCTTTAGCCATTTCTTTGTGGTTAAGTCAAGAGGTTTGACTGTTCTGGTCAGCTGGTTTATTGTGTTTTAAATAGTCAACACACCAGAAAATGCTGCTTTAACTTGAACTTTTGCTCCGTATTTCTTCTTGAGCAGTTGTCTAGATTCTGTATCTATTGCTATTTGGACTAGTCATTCTAGAGTTACATCTTCTTTCCATTGAAAACATCTTGTAACTGATTTATCCAAGAGGCTAATGAAAATTCTGTTACAAATGAGCTCTTGTTGTAAGGTTCCATAGTTGCATTGTTCAGAAAACTTATATCGGTTATGAAGGAAACTATCTACAGCATCTCTGGGAAGTTGATATCCGCTCTTGAAGCGTGATCTCATCAGTGTCCCATTTATTGTTGAAGTGAAGTACTGATCAAAATTTGTTAGAGGTTGTCATATGTAATTGTTTCTTATTAATGTTGTCTATGTATTACGTGATCTGATGTTCTTCCCATTGTCGTACAGAAATGTGCTAACCTGTTTTTGCATTTGATTTGGTGTCATTCCTGAAGTTGTTCGAATTTTTAGTATTGTGCTTTCTAAGTCTGCCAATTTATTGATTTATCAAAAGGATCTGAAAGCTTAAAGTTTTTCTGTTGGAAAGATTGGTATTGATCACTTTAGTTACGTTGTTCAATTGTCGATAGAAACTTAAAGCTATTGATTGTTTTCTTGATTTGGGAGAATATTATTCGAGCTTCGATCTCCCTGTTCGACACTCATTTTGTTGTATTGTGGTATTCTTAGTTGATTACAGTTGTTGTTAAATCTCTGTTGCTCTAAAGATGATTGTTTTCTTACCATTTTTTATTCTGTGGTTTGATGCCACAGCAAGAGTTTGGGTTCTTTGCAGACTTCTTGAGTCAAGAATTGTCTGCAGGCTTAGACTTCAAAGTAACACTATTTCTTATGCATTACTACTAAATACTGCTATACATGGTAAAAAATTGATATACCATGCTCTGACTCCTAGTTTAGTCTTTATCAAACTTAACTATCTTCTTTGCGTGTTCATGTCCAGGTTGGAGTCTGGTTTCGTAGACTTTTTTCCAGAGTGTTCTATCTCCACCCATTCTGCGGTTTTATTCTGAGTAATATGTGACATTGCCACAGACTTACTTCATTGTCTTGAAACCCTTACACGACAGCTACAACAAAAAAATACAGTTTATTTTAAAATGTTCTTTGGAGTAGGTATCCTTCAGCTTTTCAGCATTTTCTAGGACTGCTAACAGCCTGTGATTAAATTAGAGTCTTTCTCAATATTCTTCCTCCCCTCCCAATCTGAGATTAATGTAAGGGTGGTAATAAGCAATCGAAGTGGTCTGAAATGTATTCTTTTGAGATGGGCAAGCCTTTTCTGGCAGATAGTGGAAGTGAGCACTAAAGCTCCATTTCAAATGCACCACTGCTTCTTGTTTAAATTGCACACTGTTTGATGCTTTAGGTTGTGTGTGTGAAACTTGGTAAATTGCTACCCCAGATTTTCCACACCAGTTGTTAACTTGACTTCAACTTCGCTGCCATACTTATCTGAAATCATAATCCCTATCAGCTGTAAAAGAAAAATTAGGAGATGTAATTTATCCAGAAATTCTAAAACAGTGTTCAGACCACAAGATTTCATGGTAACTAAAAGTTAAGATAAAGTAATGTTCTTGAGACCTAAAGGAGAATACCTACCTGTGGTAATTGGTCATGAATAAAAATTATTTAATATACTTCAATGTGCTATAAAGCTTTATTTCTGTTTTCAGGTGACATTGTGGTGAAAGATTCCAAAATTCTGGATTATGAAGTCAGAACCAAGATGCATTTGTTGTTGTTGGCAGAAAGTAACCATCAAACAGCATACAGCCAGTTAACTATTATAATTGAAGATGTAAATGATAACCAACCATGTTTTCAACAAAATTATTATAAGACATCAATATGGGAGGGCCAAACACGTAATACATACGTCATGCAGGTAAGGGTTGTCTCAAAACTGTATATGATCAGAGATACATAATGGAGCAGAGGAATGAGTGCATTACTTTTCGCAAACTTTTAATTAAGTTGACGATTGAAATACTAAACAGCAGGTCAATTTGAACAATCCTTCAAGTTATGTTCAAACCTTACAAAGGTGACTTGGTTAGAGACTGCAGAAGTTAACCCAAATGTACAGTTAAATCAGAACTAGAAGTGAAAAAGAATGGAAAATTTGCATGAGTCTGAGAAATCCTTTAAGGACATAACAGCATATACACTCAATTGATGCTACAACAGAGGTCTGGGCCCTGCATCTTCATGATGATTTTCACAATCTCCTACTTTATGATCAGTGCAATCCAAAAACCACCCTCCATTATCATCACCCTATCCTGGAGAAGAAAGTGCAGTGAATCACTGCATTGCTATTTTACACCAATTCTCTGAAGGTTTTGCTAATCTCTTGCTGTAGTTCCTGCAGGAACTTACAGGAGGCTCAACAGAAAATCAGAACCCTGAATTCTTGTATTGTTAGCGATGAAGCAGGAAATTACAATTCAAAGACCTTAAAATATTACAATTCAGAGACATAAAATATAACTTATACTATTGACCGCACCCAACGTGTTTTTTCCAATTTCATGCTGCCAACAGACAGCTTCATCAATGGTGGGATTTGGGTGGGTTTTGTAAAATTTGGCCAATATGCATCATCTGGCCACTCTACACATCTCCCAATTTTCATTTTCATTAATTTCACTGAAAATGAGACAGGTGCATAACATATGTCTGTCCAAACTGTTGCTTTAAATTTCAAAATTGTAGAGTGAAGTTAGTGAAGGATAATTTCAAGGACCAGTATCGAGTAGTTCATGCAAAAAGTGATCAGTACAGAGAGTAGACTTCCGGGAAAAGGAAGGAGGGTAAAACACTAAAATCATTTTGAAAGATTGCAAGTTGGGTAGTCTCCAGCCTCCCTTTCCTCTCCGGATTGTTTAATGCATTATGGTCTCCCAACTTCTTGCCCATCTTTGATACAAACATACAAATTAGGAGCAGGAGCAGGTCATTCAATCCTTTGAACCTTCTCAGCCAATACCTGATATTGTTCACCAACTGGCTTAATACAAATCTATCTCTACCTTAAAAATATTTCCACCACAAGACTGATGAGTCTCAGAGACAAAAAAACAAGGCTAATCTTGGTTTTAATCGGCAATCTATGACACCAAGCTCTAGATGCTCCCAGAGGAGAAACATTTTCTCCATACCTATCATTTCAAGTCTCAATAGGATCTTATAAGATCCAATGCTTGAATCCAGTTAAGAGGTTTTCCAGTGTCCCTGCTGCAATATTCTTATCAAAGACATAAGTTGCATCCTATCTGACTGTCACAAAGGCTAACTATTTTTCCTTGCCCTTCTTCACCTGTCTGATTACACCATGTTCCTCCAGTGCGTCATCTCCATTGTCTAACTGGGTAGGACTGCAACTGCCCGATTCCATTCTTTACCTATTTAATTGTATCCACCAAATTGTCATCAGTAGTATCTCTTCCCATTCTGAGTGTTCCCCAAACTTGGCAATTCTTTGCACTCTCCTACCTCTCATCTACATGCTCCTCCTTAGCAGTATAATCTGAAACCATATCAGTTTCCAAATATATGTTGACAATACACAGATTTCTCTCACTGCCACCTCTTTCAGCCCTCCACTACCCCTAAATTATCCAACTGCTTGTCCAACATCATTACAGGGCAACCAAAAATTTCCTTTGATTAAATATTGCCTTTGATCCCTGCCATCAACACCATCACTTTCCTTCGCCACTGTCTGAGGTTGAATTATACCATTTGCAACCTCAGTGTCATCATGTTATTCCAAAATCAATTTTCAACTACAACCGTGTGATTAGGACTGCCTGTTTTAATCTCTGTAACATCACCTGACTCAATCTTTGCCTCAGTGTTCCTGCTGCTGAAACATTCATTCATGCATTTATTACCTCTGGACTTGACAATGCTAATGATCTCCTAGCCAACCTCACATTATACCCTCTCCAAACTTGAGATCATTCAAACTCTGCTGGCCAGTTGGTTCCTTCTAAGCTGCACAGCTGTGCAACCGCTCTGAGGTGCCCCACATGTCAGTTGGTATGATCAGCATGGCAATGCGTTAATTTCCTGTTCTGGAAGTCGCTGCTGTGCATGCACCACAAAGTTGTGCCCACTGCAAAAAGAACTAGAACAGATATTGTTGCCCATGTCCTAACTTGCACAAATTTCATTCACCTATCAACACTGTGCTCACTGATCTATATTAGCTCCTGGTTAAGCAACATTTCAGTCTTAAAATTTCTCAACCTTGTTTTCAAATCCTCTGTGGCTTTGCTGTTCCCTGTCTCTGTAATCTCTTTCAGCCCTACAACCTCTGAAATATTTAAATTCTTTTAAATCCAGCCTCTTGAGGATCCTCAATTTTAATCACTCCATCATTGGTGTCCATATCTTCAGCTGCCTGGGTTCTAAGCTTTGGAATTCCTTCCTTAAATCTTGCCTTGTGCCTCTCTGTCTTCCAGAGGCATTCCTTCAAAGCACACCCCTTTGACTTAGTTTATCTATCTTAATATCTCCTAATGTAATATTTTGGTTTCTAATTTCTGTATGAAATGTTTGGGATGCCTTCATTGCTACTTAAAAACAACTGGTTGTTGTTATCATGAATTTGTAATGCATACTGGAACAGGAAATGCAAAACTTGTTTCAATGAATATATTTTCATTAACAAATGCAAAATGGGAAATACTTTGCAATGTTTAACCGATTTACTAATAGAAGTCATAAGAAGTTGAGTCCAATAAACTAATAAAATATTTGAAAAAATCCTGAATGGTTGTGTATTATTGACAGGTTTTTGCATCTGATTCTGACCATGGGCTTAATGGCCAAATTGAATATTCCATAATATCTGGAAATGAAAACGAGGCTTTCGTTATTGATTTAACTCGAGGAATTATTACAACTAACGCTGTTTTAGATCGAGAAGTAATTTCCTCCTACAGGTTTGTGTTGTTTCCTTGTGCAATATCAGACTCCAGTTAAAATTGTTTTGTCTAGCATGCTTAAAACCATAAATGTGTGCATCCCACATAATGAGAATAATCTTTACTGCTTGAATGGTAAATGGAAATGAAAATTAAATGGTTCTACCACCAGTTTACCACTGAATTTGAAAATTAGCCCTCGAATGTAAATATCACCCAACCACATGTGATGTCAATAATCTCCATTATCACTTCAATTTTTAGTTGAAACTTGTGCCAGTTCAACTGTGTTGATTTTCACAAATGTCCACACAGGTAAGAAGAACTATCATTATCAATTACATATAAATTCCAGTACAAAAACAAGACATTCAGCCCTTCAAGTCAATGGCAATGTTCATACTCCACACAAGTCACCTTCCACCATACTTCATCTACCCCATCAACATATCTTTATATCCTTTTCTCCCTTATATGTGTATCTAGTTTCCCCTTACATGCATGTGTGCTAATTGCTTCAACTCCTCCATGTTTAAACCACCCTCTAGATAAATACGTTTCTGCTTAAATCTCTGTTGAATTTATTATTGATTATCTTATATTTATAGCCCTTTGTCTTGCTCCACCCTATTGTATCATTTTCAGAATCTTGAAGACTTCTATCAGGTCTTACCCCAACTATTTAAAAGAAATGAGCACCAATTTATTCAGTCTTTCCAGATATAAGCATTCAGTTCTGGTATCATTTATATTTCTGCTTCTTCTCCAGTGTTTCTCCATCCTTTTTGTAATATATAGCAACCTTCATGTTAAAACTACAGGCAAATGTGGTCTAATCAAGGTTCCAAACAATTTTAACATAGCTTCTCTGCCTTTCCATTTACTTTGGAAACGCTTTTTCCTCTTTTGCTATGGCCTTATTAACTCATCACTTTTTAAAAATTTATCTTCATGTACCCAACCTCTCTTGTGCGAGGCGATGGCCTAGTGGTATTATTGTTAGACTATTAATCCAGATACGTGGGTAATGCTCTGGGGATCAGGGTTCTGATCTCACCATGGCAGATGTTTGAACTCAATAAAAAGCTGGAATTAAGAATCTAATGATGACCATGAAACTGTTGTTGATTGTCAGAAAAACCCATTTAGTTTACTAATGCTGTTTAGGGGAGGAAATCTGATGCCCTTACCTGGTCTGGTATACATGTTATTCCAGACCCATAGCAATGTGGTTGACTCTTTCTTAACTGTTGTCTGGACAATAAATGCTAGCCTAGTCAGCAAAATTTCTACCACACTTAGACTCATTGGATTTTCACACTACCATCTGTGTCAGAATGGAGGAAGAGTGGCAGATGGGATCCAATTGTAGGATTCTTTTAATTCCTGTCATGTGGCTTTTTATTGTCACCAGTTCCAGTGATTAATTTCTTCGTTTCATTTCTGTTCATTTCGTTTCATTTCTGTTCCTAACCCTGTCTCAAATGCTGGGTCTGGAAACTATGTGTCAATTTCTTTTTGATCCAGGATTAGTGTATAGAGAGATCCCGCATGCAGAAGTCCTGTGCTTCTCTTGTTACAGGGTTTGGGCATTTTGGACCCCATCTAGGGAGACATGGTTCACAGCTCCTTACAAGAGCAGTGAACCTTGATGGAAGCTTGTTCTAGTGTCAGGAACCTTTCAACAGGTAAATTTAAAAGATTTTGCTGACATCAGCTGTTTGAAAGAAATGCTGTACATTCAGCAGTAAATGTTTGTCACTCTGGAGAAACCATAGTGCTTATGTTCTGAGGCATTCTGCTCCTTTTGCAATTATTGCATCTCAGGAACAAGTTAGGGAGAGGAGTTATCTCTATCCATGTGGCTTATGATAGCCACCACCTGAGGATAAGAATTCAGTGGGCATATAACAAGGGCCATGAAGCCACCAGGAACAGAGGGGCTGTGGCGTGTGCAAAACATGGGAGGAGCGCATTGCTAAGGTGAAGCAGAAACTGGTCTTTTGGGAGCACCGCTGACTCTCCATTGTGGGTAAAAACCTGGTCATCAGGTGTGACGCACTCTCTCCGTTATTGTAAGCGGCACAGTCTAACCCATTCCCTGGGACTGCATTGTTGCAGTCACCCGAGTCATCTTGCACTTCATCTGGAGGTCTAAGATGGACCGTGTCTGCAGGGATACCATGTACAAAACTCTGGATAAGGTAGGGAGAAGGTACCCAATGTTGCCCCCATCCAGCTGGCCAACTTTGTGTGCAGCTGCATCAAGCTACGCATAGACCCTCAGCACACAAACATCAAGTGTCACTACACATAGGTTCTTCCTGTCCCTGGTGTTACAAAGGATGGGTCTGGCCTTGTTGCCATGGAATGTTCCAAATAGTTGGACCGTTCTGTATCACCTGTCCTTCATGGAGAAATTTGCAAAGAAAAATACCTTTGACCACAGGTCCATCAGGAAGTGGTCAGCACGTAGTATCCTTGAGACCCTGTGGGAAAAGAAGAAGGTAGATCCTGTCACGTGGTTCCCTGAGCAGACTGTCAAAGTCATTTGGCAGAATGCCTCATCACCAGAACTTTCCAACAAGCATCAAGACATCGCTTGGCTGGTGATGAGAAGGGCACTACCTGTGAGATCCTTCATGTACGCATAGTTGGTCTGCCGCACCACACACTGGCCTCGAAACGGCTGCAGTGAGGGTTGAGACTGTCACACATCTCCTGCTGGAATGAGCCTTTGTGAAGGAAGTCTAGAGAAAGATGCAGTAGTTTTTGTTGGGGTTTATCCGAAGCAGCCCCGTAACGTAGCCCATTTCACGGGACACACACCAAGACAAACATTGACTGTGCCTGGAGGACAATCAACTTGGTGAAAGATGCTCTTTGGTCTTCCAGAACAAGGAGTTGAACTCAACCAAGTGTTCCAGACTGGCACGTTCCAAGATCCAGGACTATGTGCTGAGTGACTCACTAAAGCTTGGGGCAGCTGCTGCCAAGGCGCAGAAGGGAAAGACCACTGTGTGAGCTCTTCCTGCTGAAGTTAATTGGGGGTCATTCAGTTATTGGACCCTCCTAGTGCCTTATATGCATGTAAATATAGTCTTGTAAATGGATGAGGTCCCTTTGGTTTGTTTACATAGAGTCAAAATGCAATGTTTGTTTGTTGCCTGGATACTCTACTGTACGGAACTAAACTGTGTTTGTGATTATGTATATATACAAGGATATTTTTATGAATAAAGTATATTTTTGAAATTTAAAATATCAGAATCTTCACTGAGTACCCTTAGCTGTGAGATCACCCGCTGGAGAGCTGGCATACATGCTTCCCTTTGTCTGCTCTGGCTAAAGATCATGTATGCCTGGTGACTCACCTCATTTTATTAGCCTCAAATTGAGAAAGTACCTGTATATTAGTTGATAGTGGCCAGTGTCGGAGTGAGAGCGCTTCTTTATCATTGGTAAAGTATTGCTCACTCTCTTCCTCTCAGTTGCTGTGGTCTGAGAGGTGGCAGTACTCAAGAATCTGAAAGCACAAAATCAGAAGGGAAAGATTGGGTTGAGAGGATGTTAGTATATAAAGCAAGAGATCCATGGTCATACCATCTGCAGTTTGTATATTATGGTGGAAAGCGGGATGAGGTGGCAATAACATGCTGCTGTCCTCAAGTATCCTGGAGTTCAGGATGAGTAACCGAGAATGTGCGGGATGCAAACAGGAAATGTATCTTTGAGTGGATAGACCCGTCTGGCTGTGACCAGGTGTATCTATGCTGCGCTCCATCTGCATGGGTACGGAAGACATTGTGCAGCTTGGCAACTTACACTATTTCCATCAGGAATCTGGATGTGGAGTCCAGTTTGCTGTCAGGCCTTGCAGATTGTCCATCCACATCAATGATGCAGTTGATGTCTCTGGCCAGAACAAATGGGAGCTGCTACAAGACGGCCAGCTGCTCACTCTTTACCACTGGGGCGTATACATTACTTAGTCTTAGAGAAGCATTTTTGCATGTAATGTCTGCTACGATGAGGTACCCACCCCCAGCACCTCCTTAACTTGAGAGATGGTGAAGTTACCTCCTCTCAGCAGAATACCCAGACCTGAGGAACTGCTGCTGTGTTCCCCCTGACCAAATCAAAGGCCTGTGGGTCCAGAAGCTGAACATTTCCTGTAGCTCATGAGGTGCGGTATCCCACACTCCTACAGAAACAAGACGTCTGCTTTGATGTTGACTCTATCCAAACAAACCAAAGGCATCTCTTACTTGAACACGACTATGTAAACATGTTTACATGCATTTGAGGCTCTAGGGGGGTTCGATACGTGAACAGACCTGCATTTAATTCAGAAGACAGTGAAGACCACCTTAGACAGTGGTCTTTCCCCATGTGCCTTGGCAACAGCTGCCACAAGCTTTAGTGCATCCCTCAGCATAGTTGTCTTGTCTTGTCTTGTCTTGTGGTGTCTTGTCTTGTCTTGTCTTGTCGTCTTATTTATTTCAAAAATATACCTTATTCATAAAAAAGAATCCTTTTATCTCTAATTTTCTTTCATTTCAGTTTATCTCAAAGTGATTGTTTTACACTTTCAAGTAAATGTTATTTAGGATTAATCCCTAAAGGTAGGTCTTTACTAGTCAATCATCTCGCTGCTTCCCTTTAACATCACACTTCTGTTTTAAAAATTTCTCCTGTTTAACTTTAATCTGAAAGCAATTTATAACAGATATTCAAATGAGCTGCTATTTCAACCTGTGAACTTACAATTTTCCAGTGATACCACTCTTTGTTCTGTACTGGGCTCCGATTCGTCCTGTTAAAAAGACCTTGTAAACTATGAAGCAAAAAAAAGTAAAAGGCATATCTTCCCCTCTGCCCCAAATTTCCATGCTGCTTCAGATTCCCAGAAACACATTCACTCAGCTGTGCCTCACTTCAGATGTGATCTCCTCCAACTGCTAATGCAAACCTTTCTACTTGAAGTGTAATAAGTTCACCTAATTGATTTGGCCTTGAAGCATCTATATTTCATTACAGATCATAAAATTTCTAAAATCAAGCAATTCCTGTTGCAAAACCATTTCAGACAATCTTTTCTTTTGCACTAAATTTCAAGTCTTTTTTGTCTTTCACCACTTTGCATGATATTGAACCACAGTAAAGGTTGGAATTACAAGAAAAACAAAGCATTGTGCCAACATTATATGAAGACAAATCTGAGGCAAAGGACAAAAATGCTGGCAATCTGCTGGTCACATGGCTCCCTGGGATACCAAGAATTCTGTTTTATTGTAAAATGTAGTGAGTTACCACCAATGTAGCAATCATGAACAAGTATTGGAGTATTCAATGGTGTTGTTTGCCATCAGGGAGAAGTGAAAATGCTTTGAATGTAGATCCCTTTTATGCCCCCTTCCCTATCATCCATCTGAAGAGCCAGTCACACAGTGTATCACTTTGCCAAAGACCACTTTGGCATAGCCTAATGGTGGGTTGTAAAATCAAAGTTTATGTTAATTTTCATCCTATTTAAGGTATCAAACCCGATAGCATCCACAATCTGCACTGCTGTTATCACTATGTGCATGGACTTTTTTTTAATAGAATCCCTACAGTGTAGAAGCAAGCCATTCAATCCATTGAATCCACATCAACCCTCCAAAGAACATCCCCCAGAGCCACCCCTCTCTCCATGTATCCCTGTATTTCCCATGGCCAATCCACCTATCCTGCACATTGTTGGATACTATTGGGCAATTTAGAACGGCCAATTCAGTAACCTGCACATCTTTGGATTGTGGGAGGAAATCTATGCAGACACAGGGAGGATGTGCAAAAATCCACACAGACAGTCATCCAAGTGTGGAATCAAACCTAGGTTTCTGCTGCTGTGAGTCAGCAGTGCTAACCACTGAGCCGCCATGCTGCCCTGATTTCCACAATTGATATTTCAAGAAATTGGCCATTATCTCCACGGAAGAATGAATACATTCTTGTAATTCCCAGTGAAACTAACTAATTCATGCACAAGTTAGACTGTCCAATTTCTCTGTAATTGTGGAAAGTGACTGGAAGTTAGTACAGAACAGATTTTCTGCTCACTTAATAATTATCCATTACAGTAATGCTCTCCCTCTCCATTATGTTCCATGCCATTGTGGTCTACGCTTGTGAATTGTGGTTCAATAGTTGAAATTCCAATCCTGTCACAACATCCTGAAGTGTGAATATCTGAGCTGTTGCATGGTTAGGATGGCGCTATGACAGGGCACCCTCAGAAGAAATTGGATCCTCAGGATTCATTATCTGTTGTTGCACCTGGGGAGGCGATAGCTTTGTGGTATTATCACTTGACTGTCAAATTTTCCCATGGAAGATGGTAGAGTTTGAATTCACTAAAAGTCTGGAATTGAGTTTAATGATGACCATGAGACCCTTGTTGATTGTCACAGAACCATCTGGTTCACTGATGTCCTTTGCGTTCTTATGTGGTCTGGCCTTCATACGACTTGAAACCCACAGCAATTTGGTTAACTGTTAACTGCCCTCTGGATGATTAGGAATAATAAATGCTGGCCTACTGACCTGGGGCATTTCTTCCTCAGCCAACTGTGGGGTCATAGCAGTGATGTCCTCACCAGCATGTGCTCCCGACTCTAATTTAACCAAAAAACCAACTGAGGAGACAGTATCTGAGCTGATGAAGGGTTTAGGAGGCTGCCTTGCTCCTTGAGGTATCGACGGCTTCTTCTTCAGAGGTCAGAGAGGAAATGTGTTGCAAGCCAGCCTCTTGGCTGCTACCGCCAGGCAGCTGTCACTGGAAACTGCAGGACACAAAAGAAAGCATGCATCATGAGTAAGGGTAGAAGACAGGTCATGTTAAGAGTGCATTCACAGTGTTAGTAATGGGACAGTAGCATGGCAATGGATAATGATTCTTACTTGGTTGCTGAGTATCAGCAGATAAATGTTTATTGTTCTCACTGGCTCAGGCCAGGATTCTGTCCTTTCAGAGGGCAAAGTGATGAATGTTGGGTACTCCACTGCCTGACCCGACTCGACTGTGGGCCATTTTCTTTGCAGTGATACAAGGGGAAGGATTAAGCGAGATGAAACTGTCTGGCACAGCTATTATTACTGGTGGAAGGGGGGAAAAGGTGATGAGGTGCCCAATTGAGTGAGTAAGTAGCGTAAAATGCTCGGAGGGTTGAAAGTGTGGGAGGTAGGGGATGGGTGAGAGAGAATGACGGAAGATGTTGCTTACAATGATAAGAGTGATAGACTATGAGCCTTAGTGGGAGTTGTGTGCAGTAGCAGAGATAGAGTAAATGTGAATTAACAGAGAGAAGATGGTGATACTTACCCTGGCAGTGTGGAGAAGGTCAATAACCATTTTATAGCATTGTGGGCATTCCTCCAGACTGTTTAAACAACAGTGACCTGGGTGGTAACCTCCGATCAGGCTGACAGAATCTGGTGTTGCGATCTCCTTTGCCAGTCATAGTGGAAGAGGACTGTCTTCCTCAGCACCTTCCCATCCACCAGAATCTCTAGGTCTCTATCTGCAAGAGGTGCACCAATTTTCCTTTATGTAAATTGTCTAGGACAAATGACACAAGCAATGGAGGGCAGCTCAGGACTGTCAATGCTTGACCAGATGCACACCATACTTTAAATATGTGCCAATGCCACAAGTCCCAGTGTGTCACAGCATTGACATGTACTCTGCCTATAACATATGGGAGAATACAACAAGCAGGATGCCATACATGCATTGTATAAAGATAATGAGGCAAGTTTGGGAAGATCGTGTGAAAAAACTCACTAGGCCTCTCAAAGAGAAATCCTCCATGAAACTCAACAATTGACACTGAGAGTCATAGTAACAGTCATAAAGTGGTACAGCAAGGAAACAGACCCTTCTGTCTAATCAGTACATGCCGAGCATAATCCCAAACTAAACTAGTCCCACCTGTATATCCCTCCAAACCTTTCCTATTCCTGTATCTATCTAAATGTCTTTTAATTGTTCTAATTGTACCTGCATTCATCACTTCTTCAAGAAGTTCATTCCACATGCAAACCACGGTCTGTGTAAAAAAAATTGCCTCATGTCTTTTTTAAATTTCTCTCCTCTCACCTGAAAACTGTGGCCCCTAGTTTTGAAATCCTCCATCCTAGGGAAAATACTGCTCCATTAACTCTGTCTACGCACCAAATTCTGGCCAAATTCATCTCCTAATTACATCTCATTCAACAAGATGTTACTTTACTATAAGGGCATCAGAATGTAAAGTTTAAACAGTTCATACATTTCCTGTTGATTTCCAGGGGTATATATTTCAACAGCAGAACCTCTAGCCAAGTGTAAAATCATTGAAAGCAACTCTGATTTCCATGTTATTTATACAAGTGTAGACTCATGAGATTGGGTCCATTTAATTGCAACATGGCAATAAATGCAGATTTTTTTTGTTTCGCTGTCGTTGCCACCCTAATTGAGGCATGCAGATCACCCATTTTAAGGTGATAAAGCCTGAAGACCAGTCTTGATCATACACTGCAGCATTTTACAAAATATAGTTTAGCAGTTCTATAGTATATTTGTATTAGCGTTTTTGATAATTGGATATGCAGTTATCAGATCGACATTTTCAACTTTCCTATCTCTGTTTGAAATAGATTAGTTATCCAAGCAACTGATCGAGGAAGCCCCAGGCATTCAATAACTGCCATTGTTGTGATTCAGGTTGTGGATATTAATGATAATCCTCCAAGTATTCCTCCACTGAAAGCAGTGAAGATTTTTGAAAGTAAGTTGGGCTTTAATCATAATAACTCTTCATGATACCATTAGTTATCATTAGTTTTTGATAAGGTATGTTTTAATGTAAAACCGTAATCTGACAATTATGATTTGAGCTATTAACATAAATACTTCACAGTTTCTAGCAATATTACACTGTTCTTACGGAAGTATCATCTGTTTGTTTTAGTTAGGTAAGTAGCATTTATAGCAGACAGATCTCCATGTACTAATACACAGTTTATAAACAACAATTGCTAGACTGATTTATTTCATTAGGTATCCCACAATCCTATTATGTGGATATCCTGTCTAAAAATGAGGACAATTTTGCAAGCTGCGTGCTTTCAATTTGTTTCAGTAATGTCTTCTTTGTTGTATGAAGCAAAAATCCCTTTCCCAGTTCATCATTGGCAATGGATCAGATAACAAACACAATACACTCATAATTTTTTGATGTTCATGAACTATAATGAGCTTCTATAGCTGCAAGAAGGTTGCTATTAAGATCAAGAGATAAAGATATACATAATATATATAAAACTGCTGCCATAGAAAGAATAGAAATATGGCCACATAAGTAAACATCTGTTTGAGTTATTTTAAAGTGCTAACTCAAAACTACGTCGTAGGGTTAATGTATTGCTATTATGTTTTAGCGCAAGAATCTTAATGTGACACCATCTCTAAAACATAAGTTTCCAGAACAAATACAAAAATATCAAAATTAATTTGGTATAAAGGAATTATTATATTTGGTGACTGTAAAACTAATTGTTACCCAGCAATGATCTATGGTCCAGTGCAGCAATAATAAAAGTTAAACACTTCAAAATAGCAGAAACGTAAGCACAGTATTTTCTGTGAAATAAATGCAATATGGTAATGGATTATTTTCTCTGCTTGTGAGCGGAAATCTATGTTAAAACTTTTGTAGATATGGTGGACATAGAGAAACCAGTTTTTTTTTTGCCCACAGCCTACCAAATAGGTACAAGTAAGGGAATGTGCATTAAAAATGAATGTTGTTTATTAGAGGCCAGGCCAGATCTTCCTAAAAATAACTGGATGATTTATTAACTGTAAGCATTTTAGGTTATTATACTGTATTCTTCCCTATTAGTGGAGACAGTTATTTATTTTAAATGAGTTAATGGCTTGATTGCAGTAGAAGATAAAGGACTCTTATATGTACCATAAGACATTGATAAAATAATATGGCATATTATAACTTATGGAATCACAATTCAATTAATTATCCTACAGTTCCTGTACAAATATTCAAGTCCTAAGGTCTACTTCCGGGCATGCTTCAAAGAAGGTTCCAGCCCAGGTTCCAACAGCAAAATGAAGTAGTGCCTGTTCTGTCCTTCCAGTTGGATGATTTTGCTTAGGTTTAGTTCTGTTCACATCCTTTAAATAGCATTGCAGATAAAACATTGATAGTGTCTACATTCATTGTATAAGTTTGCATTTTATCATTTAAATCACAAAATAATGAAAATGCTTACTTTTATCAAATGATAATATGATAGCAGCAATTTATCACAAAAAATGATGTCATGGTTAACCAATTTCAGAAATTAATGGATTTATACTTTCAGACCTGCAAGCTGGTTATGTTGTCACACAGATATTGGCAACTGATATGGATCTAAACCCCATTCTTTCCTATAATTTTACGAAGAATGGTAATCCAGAAGGTAAATTTGCTATTGACTGCAACACTGGAATCATCATTTTGACTGAGCCATTGGATTTTGAGAAACAGTCTGAATACTTGGTGAAGATCAAGATTTCTGATTCAGTGCATGAAACTGAAGGAGCTCTTGGAGTTTTTGTAGTGGATTTAAATGACAATTCACCTGTCTTTTCTCAAGAATCATATCAGGTAGAATTGATTCATTACTATTTTACAAATAGCATTTATGGCACCCCCATGTATAAATTCAGTATATTGTGTGTTTGCAGAGTCAAATAAATCAAGCTCACAGTTTATTGCCCATCCCTGGTTGCCTTGAGAAGTGAGTAGGGGCCCATTGCCTTGAACCACTACTAGTCTTTGTCTTTGTGGTTATTTCCACATTACTGTCAGTAGGAAGTTCCAGAACTTTGACCCAGCAATGTTGAAAGAGTAGTGGTGCATGTTTAAATGATAGATATTATTGGATAGAGACACCATTAAAATTCCTCAATCTTCCCTGTTACTTCAGAGACCCTTGTGAAAGGACGCAAGTTGTTCACATGACTTCCTTTGTTATTCTTCCATCAAATGATGTCAATACTCTGTGACAGATTTGTTCATCAAATATCTGTGCCAGACAGGTCAGCACTACGCTAATGTACTGTTGATAATTGGCTCACCCATGGAACCTGTTACTTGAGATTGTTACTATCTGATCAAATCATTAAAAGCTTACAATTGTGTTTCACACTCCTGGGGTCTCCTCGACTTTGATTCTGTAAAATTACTTTTCACCCCTCCAAAGTTTTGTAGACTTGCTTATGTCACTGGAACTTACAGATTCATGAATGGAAATTAAAGAATTGCAATCCGTCTAGTTTACCTTCTGTGTCACTTTGTGGGAGATAATGTAGGCTGCATCAATCAGATAGAAACTATGCGGATTCTTTAGTTTGGAAATTGAATAATGATGAACTTCTCTGCATGTCAGATAAACTGCTGATCTTGTTATTTTAGTGGCCTTCTGCTTACGAAGCGTGACTTTCATAGTACACAGCAAAGCCACTTAATAAAGTAACTCGCTATAGTAGAATATTTCATCCTGAGGGAGGAGTAAACTAGAGCAATTGGTGTACGTAGGCTTGTATGATTTTCACCAGTTACAAAGTCAGCTTAGCTTGGGCCTCTCCTATTTGAGGGAGGCTGATAGCAAGCGGAAAATAGATGTCAATAGATGTGGGTACTTTGAGTTCTCGTGCTCATTTTTAAATTTACTTTCACCCAGCTTTCTATCAATTAACCTGTGGTACAAGAATCGTATTTTATGGACTGATTTGTTGTTTCAGATTATACTGCCTGAACTCTCACCAGTCAATACGTACGTTCTGACTGTATGTGCGACAGATAAAGACTCAGGAATGAATGGAAAAGTTTCCTATAGAATCCTTCCAGGAACTTCTACAGAGTTTTATATTAATGCTGAAAGTGGTAAGATAACAAATTAAGATTGGATAAAACATTTGTTACTTTAAGTCATGATATAGCTAGAAATCACATCGCAATAATTTTGATGTCACTAAAAAGATTAACCCCTCAACAATTGTGTTTATGTATATTTAGTTTAATAAATATCACTTCAGAATTTATATGTATGCACCTAAATCAGCATACAAAATCTATCTTGGCCTGCTGTTTGTAATTTGTGTAAGGCAATGCTTTGTTGTCTATTAAGGATGAGATTTTGGCTATTGTGTTTTGCAGAAATGTAGTTGACAGTATTTTGCTGTAGAAATAATGGGTAATGATAATTATGATTAATGACATTGACTATTGTTAAAGTGCAAATCAGACGGTGACTTCCAGTGGCCACATAGATGGAGTTAGATGCAGAAATTAAGAAGTTCCTGTTCGAGTTGTCCTGTTACCACAGGAGCATTGCTTGTCAAAAGACTCAGCATTCAGACACATGGAACGGCATGAAGTTGGTGTCTTAATATAACATAAATCCCTAAGGTCGTCAGGTGTTAGGGCTTATCTATTTCAGTGTAAGTAAATTTTAGATGGCACTATAAGAACATAGAAGAAAAAAGAGTAGTCCATAAAGCCCCTCTGACATGCTCCCACCATTCATTAAGATCATAGCTAATTTTCAACTGCAACTGGACTTCCCTGCATGTTCCCTACATCCCTTGATCCCCTGAAAATCCAAAAATCCAGCAATGTTAATCTACAGAATCCACAAAAATTGGAACAAATAAAATTGAAGAATTTACAGCTATGAGGAAATTTCTCCTTATCTCACTCCTAAATGGCCAACCCTTTAGACAAGACTATGTCTCATAATTCTAGACTTTCAACCTAGTTAAAACAACCACTGAGCATCTTATCAAGCCTTCTCATGGACTTATGCTTCAAAAAGATTATTTCTCATTCATCTAAGCTCCAGAGAATACAGATCCATTTATTCAATCTCTCCACATAAGAAGGATTCCCTAACCCAAGAATCAATCCATTGAACTGTTGTCCTAAAATACCCTTCCTTATCATATAGAAACCAAAACTGTTGACGGTACTGCAGGTGTGGTCTCATCAAAGCACAGTACAGTTGCAGCAAAATTTCCTCACTTCTGAATCCAATTCTCTTGCAATAAGTGCCAACACATCATCGGCCTTCCTAATCACTTGTACATGCGCATTAACTTGCTGTATTTCATATAGAAAAGCATCTAAACCCACCTGAACACTAATGTTAATAGTTTCTCATCATTTAAGAATGCTCTATTTTCATTTTATTCCATCAAAAGAGAATAGCCCGACATTTTACACTATCTGACGGTTTCTTTCTCATTCATTAATTCACTTAACGACTGTTTGGACTAGATTTTTAATCCAAGGTTATGAATCTAACAAACAGATCACTTCTGAGTCCTGTTCCCATGCTGCATGATTTTGAAATGCAAACACCCTAATTACGCTGGAGGCAAGTTCAGCATCCAGTTAGCAACATTGAGAATGGCCTGGAGGTAGAATCTAGTTATGGAGGGTGGCTAAAAGAGGCAGTGCTATGACCGTGCTTGCTGTTGCTGGGAGGAATGGAGCAGCAGGGATCAGAAGGCCAGTAGGCAGGGGACTCCATGCGGTCCTACATTTTTATGATGCCACCTTGAGGCTTTACGGACATTGCTTCTGCATGGAGGGATGTGCACTTCCTTCTGTCTGGCAAAAGAAATCTGTCAGACCAAGAAGGCATGGAGGCCAGTAGCTGTGAAATCATTCAGAGGAACATGGCAGATGGTATATAATATGAACAAAAGTGAGGATACGTACTGTGACAGGAAGAATAGATGAGCTGAATGTTCTTTAGCTGGAGGAAGACTGCAGAAAGTTACAGAACAGATGGATTTGGGAGTCCATGTTCATGAATCCCAAAAAGCTACAAACTGAGTTCGTTGGGTAATCAGTAAAACAATTGGAATGGTGACTTATTTTTCAAAGGGAATAGAGTATAAAAGTAGAGAGGTTTTGCTAAAATTATGCAAGATACTATTCAGATCATAGCTGTAATACTGTGAACAGGTTTTGACCCCATATTTAAGAAATGATATACTCTCATTGGAGGCAGTCCGGAGAAGATTTATTGGGCTTACACCAGATATAGAGGGACTGTCTAATGAGGAGAAGTTGAGTAGACTGGGCCAGTACTTGTTGAAGTATAGAAGAATGAATATTGAAACGTACAAGATTCTGAGAAGACCTGACAGGGTAGATGCAGAAAGGTTGTTTCCCCTTATGGTAGACCCTAGGACCAGAAGACATCATCTCAGAATAAGGGGTCATGCTTTTAAGACAGAGGTGGGAAGGAATTTCTTCTTTCAGAGGGTTGTGAATCCGGGGAGTTCTTTATTACAGAGGGCTGTTGAGGCTGGATCATTATGTATATTCACTACTGAGATTGACAGATTTTTAATCTGTAAAGGAATCAATGGTTATGGGGAAAAGGCAGAAAAGTGGAGTTAAGGATTATCAGATCAGCCATGATCGCATTGAATTATGCAGCAGACTCGATAGGCTGAATGGCCTTCTTCTGCTCCTATGTGTCAAGATCTTAATATCTTTTATATTTTATGTCTAATTGTAATTTTAATGCATAGGATGCAGAGAAGGATTTTGTTTTGTAGCAGTAGTTCCTCAGTTTTCTGATATATGCTTGTGGCATGTAGCCTTGATTTTGTAGGATATGGGATATGGAAGCTCCAAAGATGACATCAAACATGTGGTTTTCAAAAATGCTTGGATAATGTTAGCAGCCAGGCACAATTCCTTTAGTATTCCTGGAGTCCTACAAAAGTCCCGTACCTGCTGGAGGGTAGGAGTTGAGTGACCAACCATCCCACATTTTCCAGGACTGACTGAGAATTTGGCTTTCCATCTTATGCCTGGTGTCTGCCTTCTCCATGGACATCTTTTGTCCCATATTTCTTCTCTTTTTTTCTTTTGATCTTTATATACACACTTTGCGACTGTGCATGTGCAAACATCATCCGACACAGGAACAGTAATGACTGGCACTCTCCTCTGAGAGCTGCTGGGTGTTTGTGGCGGAGGTTTACAATGGGTGTTCAGCAGGGGTGGGGCGGTCAGGGAAAGGAGGAGAATAGGTCATTGGCAGAAACACTCTGGCCCAACCTAGTGTAGCGCTAATGGAAGGATTGAAGTAAGGTTAGGCAAAGCTGCAGTTTCAAGCCATTATCTGAAAGGTTGTTATGAAGGAGAGAAAGATTCTCTACATTCCTTCCTAACCCCATCTTCAGCTCCAAAAGTAAGAATGCTGCCACACCTGAGTTTCTAGGGGACTCTGAAGGAATACCAGCAACAAGCAGCACTCAGTGAATCCCTGTGAAACCTAAAGGTGGAAAGCTCTTGCTCTTCCTGGCTGTCTTGAAAAGATATTGTATGAAAACAACACCTATCTGAACCTCTGCTGTCCACAAGTATGTGGCATCACAGGGAATCAGAGTCTAACACAAACAAAAATAGAGACTGAGGAACTGAGGAAGGGGTCACCGGACGTGAAACATTAACACTGATTTCTCTTCACAGGTGCTGCCAGACCTGCTGAGCTTTTCCAGCAATCTCTATTTTTGTTTCTGATTTACAGCATCTGCAGTTCTTTCAGTTTTTATTCAGAATATAAGTCTGTTGTTTTGTTCATGCCTCTAAACTAAAATTGCAGACCAGGTTCTCATGACAATACGCCTTGTATTGAGTCTGATCATAACACAAAATTCACTAATTTGTGCTGAGTAAAAACTTTGTATTTTTTTTTGCTTTTAGGTGCAGTATTTACCAGGAGGACTGTACACTACACAACTTATAACTCCGTGGTGCAACTTCTTGTAGAAGCTAAAGATGATGGAAACCCTGCGTTGAAAAGCATTACTTCAGTAGTAATACAAATTCAGGATATCAATAACAATATTCCTCAGTTTGCCCAAGCAGTTTATAATATCAGTGTCAATGAAGAGGCAACAATAGGAATTATTCTGTTATCATTTTCAGCACTAGACCAAGATTGGACACGTAAGAATGCTTACGTTGACTACACCATTATTGGAGGCAATGAACAAAACAGATTCCATATTGAGAACACTATAATTCAAACAGAGAATCAGTATCATGTGATAGGCAAGCTGCTCTTAAAGAATGTATTAGACAGAGAACGTACTAACAGCTATTGTTTGGTTCTGTGTGCATCTGATCGAGGAAACCCGTCACTTAATTCAACCACAATTGTATTAATAACTGTGCTTGATTTCAATGATAATCCTCCAGTTTTTAACAGCTTGGAGTACCATGTTGAAGTTCTAGAAAGCACCCCTGTGAAAAATAAACTTGTTCAAGTCTCAGCCTATGATCATGACCAGGGAGCAAATGCAGATATTAAGTACAGTATAATATCTGGAAATGAAAAAGGATATTTTAGATTGGATCCTAAAATGGGTTTTGTAGAATTAAAATTACCTCTTGACTATGAAGAGGTATCAAAATTCATGTTAACTATCCAAGCAGTTGATGATGGTATTACTAATCAAAATATGGCTATTTCAATCCTTTATATTAATGTATTGGATGACAATGATAATGCTCCTTATTTTGTAGTTCCTACACTGAACTGTGCAGTCAATGAAAATGAGCCTATCTACACATCAGTGTGTGCAGTTCATGCTTTCGATTATGATGATGGTACCTTTGGATATTTAACATATTCTATTCTGACATTGTCTTCAACTGACTATTCTACATATACTAGTTGGAATAATTTTATTATCGATCCAATTACTGGTGATATATACACAAAACAGATGATTGATTATGAGCAACAAAAAAAGTATGTATTTGTGGTCCAGGCCAAGGATAAGGGTAATGCAACAGCAACTGCAACAATTCAAGTGCATATTCAAAGTATTGATGAATATGAACCCATCTTTACCCAAGATCGGTACTATTTCACTCTCCCTGAGCTTGTGGAGGTAGGTCAAAAAGCTGGCCAAGTTACTGCTGTCGATAAAGATGCTGGACTAGATGGAATTGTGCAGTTCTCATTTCTACAGCCCTCTCCTTACTTTTCACTGAACCAGACAAGTGGAGTTATTTATGTTTCTGGTTCTGTTCACAAGATTAGAGGCAGTTACAAGAGAGAAGAGGTAATTGAGTTGGTGATTAAAGCCAGTAGTCCTTTATTGGGCTCCAAATCAGCAATTAGTACTGTTACCGTTAACATCTCTCAATCATTGGATGCCTTAACAGGTAAGTCAGCTGACAACCTCACTTTAAGTCTCTCTGTCTCATTTGCCATTTTCTTGCTCCTTTCTGTGTGCTTTGGTGGCCTACTGTGTAGATATAAAAGAAAAGATAAAAATAATTCAAGTATTGAAAAGCAGAATATAAAGCTTCCAATAATATCCACAATTATCAACCATCTGAATCATCCAGTAGTGTCATCAGGTCATCAGAAAGTGGGTGATAATCAGCAAGGAAAAACTCCTGTTAATTCACTGGAACAACTGAGTTTAGTGGACATTCCTGTAAAGAAGAAGTCATTTAATTCTTCCAGGCAATGTGCTGCAGATGGGCAAACTGCTGAAGACAGAGAAATTATGCTGATTAGTGCAAATCAGCATAGCAGAAATCAAGTTTCAGAATTAAATAAACCTGGCTATATATGCAGTGTTCCAGATTCAGAGCACTCAAGGGAATCATACTGCTTGTCCTGTCAGTTGTGTAAGAACAATACCACTGATGCAGTCATTAATAGAGAATGTGTAGATGGCATTTATAACTTTAAGGACATAAGGGGAGAGGAAGGGTTCAGTGTGGATTTTGTTGATTTTTCAAGGAATATTCAGAATCCAAATATTAAGGAAAATAGTATCATGATGGACAATGCTAAGGATCACACTTTTATCATGGATGGGCAGACTTCATTGATAGGATCCCTTAGTTCACTTGTTCCCATACAAGACCAAATACAAAACAGCTACAATTATGATTACATACTTACCTGGAAACCTGGGTTCCAACCTTTGGCCTCAATCTTTACTGGGATTGCAAAACTGAAAGATGAAAATGTACAAAAGCCTGTTATTAAAAATGAATCCAAATCTATTAGCCCACCCCCACTGATAACATCAATTGCACAGCAAGGCATAAGAGTTGTCCCTCCACAAATGCCAATAATAAAATTTAATCCATCAACCACAAAATGTTCAAGCTTGCCCATTGTTACTAATACATACAGCACTGCTTCAGCTATGACACCAAGTTTCTCTCCATCTGTTTCTGTGCAAACTCCTTCAGCTTCTATTGTTTTAAATACAGGGATATCTAAACTTACCATAACGTAATCCTTACGCAGGCAAAAACTAGAATAATGAATACAGAATCATCAACACTTCAGGCTGATGTGATTACTCTGTCAAATTAAGTACAGATAAGTGAAGTTATATTTAATTTCTGTACATGAAGCATTATCACGCCTACGTCAGAAAGAAAATATTTAGTTTATATTGAGTATGAATTACAGATATAAATTGCTAAATGACAATTATTTTCTAAAGTAATTTCATTCAATAAGCATTATAAGGATTTAACTATTGTATCAATGTTTGCCAAGAAGCTAACAAAATAATGCATGTTGGATTGCAATTTCATTACTATGAAATGGTCACAGTTGTTGCAATTAACTGTAAGTGTATTTATGTCATTTGCTTTGTTACAATAAATGCATACAATACATTACAGTGCAGAACGACAAATCTTTCAACCAAGTCTGTGATACCAAATTGATAGTATTTTCATGCTAGGAATCTTGCATCTTATTCATGTTGTCATCATTTTCATTGGAGTTGACAATGGGAGACTGTTAAATTTAAGCTTCAGTGGCAAGGAGAGACAACACCCTCAACAGGAAAAGTAGATCCTGAAGTAAAAAAGAAGTATGATTTGAGGAAAGTAGCAGCAAGACAACAGGTTGTGTTCTCACACTGATCCGTCATTGAAGATGCAGCCTATACCTTTCCAAACAGTTGGACACACACATCTGTGACAACTGTACTGGTCACAATATAGTTGCAGCCTTGAACTTGTATGCTTTTGGTTTCTTCCAAGGATCTGTTGCAGACCTCAGTGATATATCACCAATGGCAACATCCAGAGCTGAACAGTATGTTCCTGTTGTGACAGATGAAGCCTTGCAGGAACAAGAACTATGGAATGCTTCCATCCCCTCAATGTTCATTTGCTCTGCAATCACAGTAGCTTCTGTCATGTGTGCATTCACTGTTTGACAGCTACGTAACTCCTTCCTCTGCCAGTCCACTCTCACCCAGCCACCAAACTCCCCATTTATGATCTCCATCTCTATATGAAAGCCTTTTGCCCCTGAGTTATTCAAAAATCTCTACTCTTACTTTAAGAATATTCAGTGATCCTGCCTTCACTGCTATCTGGGTAAGAGAGTTCCAAAGACTCATGATGCTATAAGAAAAAAGTCTTATTTCCATCTTGAAAGCAAATAAAAACATACAATGTGACAAAGATTACAGGCAAACCAGAAGATCGGGAAAGCTTTAAAAGCTAACAAATGATGACCATAAAAATAATGAAGAGGGAGAAAACAAACTGTAATCAGCTATGATTAGCTTAGTTGGCTGGATGGCTGGTTTGCACTGCAGAGCGATGCCAATAGCGTGGGTCATTTTCCGTACTGATTGAAGTTACAGTGAAGGATTCTCCTTCTCAACCTCTGTCCCTTGCCTGAGGTGTGGTGACCCTCCGGTTAAACCGCCACCAATCGTCTCTCTCTGATGAGAGACCAGCCTATGGTCTGGTAAAACTATGGCGACTTTACCTTCATAATATCAGAGTTATGGGTTGCACAGTTTGGACAAAGATAGGGAGGAATTCCTTCTCTTAGTGCATAAATAAATCTGCGGAATTCTTTAGCACAGAGTTTTGTTGAGTATGCTCGAGGGTGAGATGGTAAGGTTTTTAATCAATAGGTGAATCAAGGATTGTAAGGAAAAGGCAAGAAAACGGAGTTGAGGATTATCAAATCAGCCAAGTCCGCATTGAATGGGTGAACAGACTTGATGAGCTGAATGGTCTACTTCTGCACCAACATCTTTTGGACTATGACCTTTTGCAGAGATGAGGTATAACTTTGGATCTGCTCCCGTAAGACCTTTGATGGAGATTAAGCACCTAATGGGATTATGAAAAGGCATGTTTGCATATATAAAGAGCATAAACTCATTGAGACCCACAAACTGGCAAAGAAAGTGTCCAAACTTTTAAACCAAAACATTGTTAACAATTTCAGAGTTCCTCTTCACATAAAACCATAGTAGGATATGTGCTTTTTGTGTGGTCATGGCGACAGGTAGAGTGCCACAAGGTGGCATAGATATTATGGGGCTGTGTAAATGGGCATGGGCTGGTATTGGGGGGTAAGAGGGGCATGTGGAATCAGCTGATAGGTATACACCTAGAATACTGTGAACAGATTTTGACCTCCTTATCTAAGGAAAAATATACTGCCATTAGACACAATCCAGGGAAGGTTCACTGGGCTGATCCTGGGTTGGGAGGGATTTTCTTGTAAGAAGAAGTTAAGTCAGTTGGGCCTGTATTCATTGTTGATTAAAAGATTGAGTGGTGACGTTATTGAAACATTTAAGATTTTTGGGGGCTTTACAAAGTTGATGCTGAGCAGTTGTTTTCCCTTGTGAGAGAGTCAGAGTAGGTAGTGAAATTACTTACCACAGAGGGATGTTGAGGCTGGGTCTATAATTCAAGTATATTCCAGGTTGCAATAGATGGAATTTTAATCAGTAAGAGAATTGAGGGTTTATGAGGAAACAGCAAGAAAGTGGAATTGAGGAATTTCAGATCAGTCTCATTAAATTATCTCATTAAATAGCAGAGTAGACTTGATGGGTGAAATGGCCTACTTCAGCTCTTACAGTTTATTGGCTGATGGTCTCATGGGCAGTATGAGGAGTCATAACAGATGGACAGATACCCGGGTGGTGTAGGGAGTATGAGGGGTGATGGAAACAGGGCAGGGGTAGATGCTGAGGCCTGAAACATTGTCAACCTTAAGAAGGCCACATAACATTATAAAGAAACATGAATTATTCTAACAGAAAGAGTGTAAAATAATGAGAAAATAATGATCAAACTAAGACTTAGATCTTACAATAACCCTATTTTCATAATGAAAGCTTTCAAATGAAAATATTTTATGGTTTATTAATTAATATATACGAAAACTTTAAATCTAAACCAACAAAACATAAGGTATAAACAATTGTGTAAAACTTGAAATTGGGTCTCTTATTTTCATGCTAAGAGGCCCCTCATAATCTGAAATCCTAAACTGTGGTTATTTATTTTATGCTTAAATTCAGCATTGGTACAGGGGCACAGGTTGACATGGATAAGGCACAGTGAATGAGCTGGTGAGGGCAGGAAGGATATATTCTGTGTTAATCTTTATTGTTAAACTTTGAAGGTAATGTCAGAGCCCCGAGACGAGCTTTCCACCCAGCCCATCTCTGGAACTACGTCTTAGGCTCTTCCCAGGTCACTTGGCCCCACTCCAAGCCTCAGACTGAAAATGGGAAGTTCTTTTAAAGGCCGAGATGGTGGAGCTGGGATTGCTCCCAATTTTGTGTGCCCCCAACTGGGGGAACAGAAATCAGCGCCTATTATTACCCCGGTTGAATTTTAACTACAACTCAAATTTGATCAAAGTCCTGTAGTTTGTGGTAGACAGTATGTTCATTTTATAATTTTCTATTGTCAAATGCCTTCATCCTCTGAAGGTAACTGCCACTCCATATTTTGCTGCAGCGACATTTGCTTTTGAGATAGTAAGGATTGTACAAAATAAATTTCCCCTTTGCTAAAATTGTTACCCACCACCATGCCACCAGCATCTCTTGTGTGTTTAATGCCTTTGTCTTTATAATGCTGATATTGTTTATTTCCCTGAGAAATTATTTATCTGAATTTTATGTATATTTTTCAGCGTTTATAGTTTGTTGTTGCAATTGTTGTGCCCGTTTTGGTTATCCATCCTTTGTTCAAAGTGTTTATTTTTACTGGACCCTGACGTTTGGTAATTGCAATCACTTTAGTGATTGGATCTTGGTCTGAGATTGGTGTTAAATCATTGATCTGGAGTGTAGGAGGAACGTAACTTATTCTGTAACAAGGCTGCTTTTCCTACTGCAACTGCTGCTAAATGAAAACCAGTGAGGATAGCTGCATTAACAATTAAAGAAACAGTAAATTTGGGCAACAGTTTCCACAGGTAATTGAATATTCAGTTTACAGTGCTCATATCATTCACCATATGTTATTGTGATGCTATTACCAATACCAGTCACATGATGGCACCATTCCACATCTTTGTCTTATTTATTAAAGACTTGAAAATATGAAATCTGCAGATTCCAGGCTTCAAGGCTTTTACATTATTATTCCTTATGGTAGCTGAACAGAATTTCAACCAAGGAATAATGTTAATATCAAGATTCTCCTGCTAAGATTGAAATGTTGGCAGATATAAGACTTTTTTTGAGCACTGGCTCGAAGGAGTGGACACACAGGTTGGTTAAATGTTCTTTGGAACAGAACTAAAACACGTAATGAGAACAGTACTCCACAATAACTATGGAAAATACATCTAACTACTGTGTTTAAAGTTAATCAAATTGGATATAAAACTTAAATTGCAAGGCAATAATTGTAAAAGTCTTTGTGTAGGCAATTAAATACAAATGTTACAGTAAAAGAATACTGGGTTTGATGACTATCCTGCTGATAATTTAAATGCCCAGCTAACACCATGTAGATGATGTGTGAGTTGGTGTATAAACTTTGCTGAGCAGTTCACATTTTTCCACACAACTTTAACAGGGTGGTAATTTTCTTTAACACCTGTAGCTAAGTATCAACAATTAAGCCAATTTTAGCAGGTCAGCAATTACAAAATCATGGCCCAGTGGGATTAACTGAAAAGTTCATCACACTCATACCAGGCCTTAATTTAGCTTTAGTTGTTGCAATACAGATCAATTTTTGCTATCATTCTTGACCACAGTAATGAAAACAAATAACCCTACTAACCCATTTACAGAAGGAGCCATGCATGAAGGGACTATCAAATTTTATAACACTTCTATATCCTGTACAGTTACCATATCAGCTTTCAGAACCGCATTAATCTCCATGTGTGCTTATTGACCAAATGCATGCAATATATACAATGAAGGTTCAATTGCACTTTTAACATTTAACAAAGTCAAAGGCCGATGATCATGAAGAAAGATTCAAG